TATTAAAAAAATGTCTATGATGTGTTTTTAAAATACAAACAGATCATGCATTTTAGACATCCCTCATATCCCTCTATTCCAGCCCTGTTTAGAGAAACGCGGATCTTGGGTCCTTAGCTTAACAAAAAAAAAAAGAGGAGGCGGAGATCAGAATTCTACCGGAAATAAAGTTAAATTCTGCTGTGATAACACACCATCCTGTTCTAAACCACATCAAGGACTATTTCTGAAACAGTATAGAGCTCAAATAATTTTTCTCTTGCGGGTTTACCAACCCAGTCTCATAAAAAAACGTGTAATAACTACGTTGGTCCACAACGTAGGACGTAGTATTTCTACAAAAACGCCTCTGAAATTGTAAGATCCCTACGTTTTTTTTCACCATTCATTCCAATGGCTGGCGTCTATGTCACGTGATCTTCATCTCCCTGCAGAAAAAAAAAAACATGGCCGAATTTCGTTTTATTCTCGGTGTAAAATGCCTATTTTAAAGTTAGTTTGGCCATTAAAATGCCTTTTGATGTCATTTGATGCGAGAAATATGAGTTGGTATTTCAGATTATGTGTGCAGTGGATGTACATGATCTTTAGTTTGCTAGTTATTACGAAGATTAATTCAGGAAATTGTGTCGATATAACGTTTTCATTGTTACCAAGGTGGTTGCTAGGGACGCTGCTATCGATATTGTTTCTGTTATGTTGTGTAACAGTTTAATGGTGTAATCTTTATTACTACCCCACCCACTACCCTTCCCCGTCAATGTATAGTGTTGGTCCACAGAGCAAACGTATTAGTTTAACAAAATCCGCATCTAAAATTGTGGCATATACGTTATTTTCCCCTGTGCAATTCCAGTCTCACATCTCACATCACATCGTCATAAACAAATACCGGAAACAGACCGAAAACACTTTATTCCGAGTGTGCTTGCTTTTCTCTTTGAAAGTCATCACATAACGGCATTGTAATACACGGTTCGGCTGCATTAAATATTACATATCTGCCGTAGTTCTCTATTTATAGAGCCCTGATGAGAAGACTTCTAGACAAACATGAGGAACTGCCGCCAACACTGAAAACGTGACATGGATCATAAATATATCAGCCATTAAACAACATCTTACATTTCTTTTCACACAATACGTCTCCTTGCAGTATCAACACTAATTCGGCTGACTTTTATATTTGATCCAATTGGTAGATAGGCTGTATTTACACCATAAAGGTGCACAGCTGATATAAAGGGACACCTAGTGGTTAAAGCATGTTATTGAATTTCATTATTTTTATTATTAGATATTAATAGGATCCCTATAAAGTATATTCATTACTCGTTATTCTCTACTAATAGTTAATTAAAGACTGTATATAATGACTATTTTGCACATCCCTTTCAAGATTTCAAGATTTTCTAAGGTTTATTGACATATCATATACACCAGGGGTGCCCAACCAGTCGATCACGATCGACCGGTCGATCGCGGGGAGATTCCCAATCGATCGCGAGATGTGTCTAAAAATAGAACAACAATATTCTGTTTTATCGTTAATGTCCTATAACATAATCTTCCTGTGCCAGAATAATGCACTTGAACGCATCAAAGCTTTGTGATTGACCGGCTAGACACCATGTGTCGGGGCGTGGCTGGTGGGCACTATTTCGCTGACGTTGTCCGTGTCAACAGGAGTGACAGTCACACAAGACCGCAATTATGGCAGAAGCAAAAAATACCAAAATATATAATGTTCACTCTGAGTGGGAGGATGATTATTTTTGTATCTATTCCAATTCAAAGTCCATCTGTCTCATCTGCAATGCGAGCGTGGCTTTATCGAAGAAGGGTAATTTAGGAGCGGCATTTCAAAACAGTGCACAAACGCTACGAGACGGAATTCCCTCCTGATTCTGCCCTACGCTGCCAAAAGGGGAGGGGCCTGAAAGGACAGCTAAATGCACAGCAGTCCATTTTCTCCAGGCCCAACAACAAGAGCAAGGCTGCTACCATAGCATCTTATCGTGTCAGTCACGTTCTTGCGAAACACATGAAGTCTTTCAAAGATGGCGAAGTTGTGAAAGAAGCATTCCTGGAGGCTGCTGACGCGCTTTTTGGGGATAGTAAAAATAACAGTAGCATTTCAACAGGTTTTTGATATAATACCGTTATTAATCAGCTGTAAGTTTTAGTTTGTTTGAACTTATTCATTATAATTATTGTACAAAATGGTATAAGAATGCAAACTTAAATTGAGTATAGTCTATTATCAATTCAGTTAAGAAACTAGTGTTGCTTGCATCCTATTTTAAAGGCATTTATTTTTATACTCTACTAAAATGCAACAAAAAAGGGATTCTATTAATTGTGTCTTTTTTATTGCACTTTGGCAGCAGATTCCTGTGTAGCTTCAGATCTGAGTTGTCTTATTAGTAAGCCTCATTTATAATTTTGTAGCAACACTATTTTTATATAATGGCAAAGAAAGGGTTCAGTCTTTTCTTTTTTCCCTGTGTCATATGTGGCAGCACTGTTCAATGTTTCTTGAAAACATTACCCACTGTAGTGAGGTGTGAATAAACTCCAACTCTGTATCAACACTGTTGTGTAACTTCAGTAAAATACTTGTATGTGTGTAGATTAGAAAGAGGTAAGATAAAGGATCTGCAGTATTTTATGAAGTATTCATCGTACAAAGGTCAGTTTTATACAAGTAGAAGTGTGTATTTACCTGGTAGGTATAGTAGGCTGTCAGTAATGGCTACGCCTCTCTATTTGGACTGGTAGATCTCGGCAGACTGGCAACTTTAAAAGTAGCTCTCGGTTCAAAAAAGGTTGGGCAATATATACACAAACGGTGTAGTTATGCAATGAATGAAAAACTTTGTGTATACCTTCAGCAATGTTAACTATGTTGAAGCACTTATTTTAACTGATATTATACATATGTATTATACTCTTATATAAGATGTATGTAGATAGTATAATAAATGTGCAGAATACGACAGTTTAATGGTGGAGGTACACACATATTGATAGATGTCTTGTAATGCACTGTTGAGGAACCTGCGACCAAAGTTTTTCATCTCCGGCCTTGTCAGGTATTGAACAATCAATAAATAAAGAACACATAATTATTAAATATAAAACACAAAATGTGTGTGATAATACTAAATGATTTACAAATAAACACCACTGCATATTTACAACTGTTACACATGCTGATGTAACGCAAATGTTTCCAACTTGGGATCAATAAAGTATATCTTATCTTAAGATGATCGATGGCTACTGCCATATTTGCAAAATGTGCCTCTGAACCTTGACAAGTGCATGTTTCAGGCTCATCAATTAACAACAGGAGGGGTCACAAACATAAGACCAGCTGTTAAATAAAGCTCTTCTGACCTTAGCTGGCATGTGGGTAATGCTACCCATTATGGGCACAAGCAATTTTCACCCATTTATTAATTATATGTTTTAAATGTGAGTGTTTCCTATCCCCTAAACCTCCAGGGATGTACACAGTTTAATACTGGCCACTTCTTATTATGGGAAATACGAAAACGTCTTTTAAAACTACACTCCCAGTAGAGACGTGCCATAGATAGAGAACATGTTGCGAAACACAATAGCCAGCATGTGTAGTTCTGGGGACGGGGTGGGGGAGGGGGAACGGGGTGGACCCGTTCAAATCCAGTTTTGGACATTCTGCCGTGGTTCCATCCCATTTCAAGTGCTGTTTGACGCTCGGCACACTCTCCAATCACAGAGCTTGAGGACTATCACAGGGTTTGTCAAGCGAAGCGGAGAGAATACTTGAGCTGCTCCGACCCTCGGTCCTGACGGACTCCAAGTTGTGTTTATTAATTAATCAAACAAATAAATAAACACAAGGATAATTATGTGTTATTGTTGAGTAAATGGAGAATTGCACAGGGGAACATAACGTAGGCTATCTATGCCACAATTTTAGATGCGGATTTTGTTAAACTAATACGTTTGCTCTGTGGACCAACACTATACATTGACGGGGAAGGGGATAGCAATAAAGATAACACCATTAAACAGTTACACAACATAACAGAAATAATATCGATAGCAGCATCCCTAGCAACCACCTTGGTGACAATGAAAACGTTGTATAGACACAATTTCCTGAAGTAATCTTCGTAATAACTAGCAAACTAAAGATCGTGTGCATCCACTGCACACATAATCTGAAATACCAACTCATATTTCTCGCATCAAATGACATCAAAAAGGCATTTTAATGGCCAAACTAACTTTAAAATAGGCATTTTACACCGAGAATAAAACGAAGTTCGGCCATGTTTTTTTTTTCTGCAGGGAGAAATTTGAAGATCACGTGACATAGACGCCAGTCATTGGAATGAATGGTGAAAAAAAACGTAGGTATTTTACAATTTCAGAGGCGTTTTTGTAGAAATACTACGTCCTACGTTGTGGACCAACGTAGTTATTACACGTTTTTTTATGAGACTGGGTTGGGTTTACCACAAGGTGAGTTCATTTTTTTTATTTCCTGCTTTTTAAACACATTTGCTCTCCAGTACAGGTTAGCTCTGAGTGTTAGCGATGCTTGCGAATGTAAACAAATACCATATTATGTCCAAAACACGTCAGGCATTGTTTCTGATAGCAACTCTCTGTGGGTCCACCATCCGAAATTACGTAATATCGGCAGCAAATCTGTATCTGCTCGTTGTACCACCGTTTTTAAAAGGTGGGTATACGGAGGAAAAGAGAAAGGGTTTTATTTTGTGACACTGCGTTAGTTCCCCGACACACCGGGGACACATATTTATGTATAAATGACATCAAAAAGTGGATTTTGCATGATAGGTCCCCTTTAAGTAAAACTATAATTAGCTAAATGCTGTTTGAGTACCCTGTAGTAAAATCCAATATTAACAAACAAAAACGTAATAGCTCAAGGATTTCTAACAATATTTAAATGTTTTGGTCAATTAAAAAACAGAACCTTGTACTTTATAAACTTTATATAACATAGGGAAGCACAAAGTACAATATTTCCTTTTGATTTGTAGTGGAGTATAAAGTGCAACGAAAAGAACATTCTCAAGTACCTCAAAATTTCACCACTGCTTTGCAAAAATGTGGACTTCCAAGAGAAATCTTGAGGAAATTCAATTCAAGAAAGATTTTTGAAAACGACAGAAGCGTATTTCAACTTTGGTGTGTTACTTAAGTTCATTGCATGGATGATGCCCGTGAGCAGAAGGCAGGCGTTCACCAAACATTTACACTCATCAAGCCCCTCCGATCCCTCGATGGAGATGGACACGTTGGGAGGTGTGGCGTCTTCTTTTGCTGAACTTCATGGAGGACATGGAGCTTCACGACACTCAGCATAGTCCTTTTTCGACGATAACTTTGCCTCCATTCTGTCAAAACATGTAAATCAGTGTTAACATACAATACTGTAAACCTTTCTGTGAATTTACTTAGACTGATTGGGTTGAGCTAGCTATTTAATTTAGTATTTAAGTAGCCATTGATTTTACATACTTTTTAAGCAGAGGGGATGGGGTAAGCTTCAAAAGGTTCTAAGGGCTTTATTATCATATGCACAGTGTAGCTACAGTGTGGATATGGGAATTTATATTAACTCTTATTTGTTACGGTCAAAGTATGACTACAAGTAAGGAAGTTCAGTTTATAAAATGTTCGCTTTGTTCCAAACAGGAAGTAAACCTGATTAAATAATTGGGTTACACAGGCTCAAACTATCAATTCTCCTGAAAAACCCATTTTGAATCAGAATATTAAACATTTAAATTGAGTAAGTTTGAAAATATATATAAATATTATACAGTAAAATTAGATTCCAATGTACTTTATCTAAATGTTAACTTAAAAACTGGAGACTGAAGAGGTTTTTCACATAATGGCAAGATGTACTTACCTTTAGAGAATAGAGATATTCATGTACAAACAGAACAGCAGACACATTTGAACACAAATCAAGCAGAACATTTCCCTGGTTCTCTTTAAGCAGACTCTTCCAGAAGCTCCATCAGGCGGGAGGGCGGCTTCCGTCAAACTTCAACGTGGTGCTGTTGAACAGACATGTCAATTATTGTAGCGAACACACATAACAGTAAGTACAGAAAGATATTGGAGACAAAGATTATGCCTTAACTTCAATTTAACTCGCTATAGAAGGAGGCACCAACAGTTAAACTTCTAATAAAGTGACTCTTGTCCCAGTAGTCTTCCTGGATCACCCCTCTCCTTCTTTAGGCTGCAGTGAAACAGGCCGCATCACACAGAGGGGCCCACAGGCAGTTTACACAGAGCAGCGTCCATGGCAGCGAATGTGACATACCCTTTTTTTTTTTAGGAAGCTGGTGCCGCCATCTGTCTCAGTGTACACAGGACAACTACTTTGATATCCACATTAAGCTGACAAGCTAACAGGGATGTGTTGGGGAATAATTTGCCCTGCATGTCCTCCTTCGCCCTCTGACGCAGCTGACCAACCTTGAGCAGCCGTTATCTCCCATAAGGAGGGGCTGCCCTAGCATATTGTTGATGTTGCCAGTTTATGACCGGGCAACTCTCTGTCAGAGATAGTTATTGTTGTGGGACACCTGGAACACATCCTTCTCGGTGTGTAGATGACCCCGAGCCATAAGCGACAACAAATGTGATTCAGTGTCCTCAGCTGTTTAGTCTATCTATTGAAGAATGTTGATTATTACACTCTGAACTACTTAAAATCTCAAGCTACAGGAGGGTTCTTCAGAATTGATTGTGGCATCTCTACCGTGTGGTCAAACCGTGGCCCGTGACATATCTTGTGAATTCTCCGGCCGAAGCTCCAAATAAACCATCAGTGTTTGCCATCAAAGCTCCAGCTCTCCTCGTGTCTCTCTGAGTCCTGACTCCAATTGCTTCAGAAGTTTCCCCAACAGGACATACAGAGTTAATAAAGTACATAAATATACTTACATAATTCAAAATCCACGAGTATTCATTTTAGATGAGGGTCCATGCTCTCTTCTCTTCAACTGGAACCGCCTGATTTTTTTCTAATGTCTGTACTGTCTGTGCGCAAACTCCTCTAACGTCATCGGGGACGTCGCCCACCTTTACTCACACACCCAATGGCTTTTTAAGAAGAGAAAACGAAATAGGAATTTTACTTGGGCATGTATTTGTATTTTGGTATTTTAATTGTAGTTCATCTCAGAAATCTTGACACTATCTGTCAGTGGAGGAATTCATTCCTTGACCCGCTGTACCAGGCACAAGAGTCATCACTCCTCTTGATACAAACTAAGTGTTTGGCCAGCTCTCCGTAGATCTCATTCTCAATCACCCACAGGCACTCGACCGGGCTGCTGACCAATTATGAAGTAGCTTTCTTCTGTAATTTGAAACTATATGTGAGTTGTATTTACATGTCCAGAAATAAATCTTAATTTGTTTCGATAAATGGTGAATGCAGGAGTCATGTGAAAATAGATACATAACCCATTGATGTGTAAATAACCAAGACGTAGCAGCAAAACAGGGTTTGGCATTTAATATAATAGTCAAATTGTACAGCATTGTTTCAGCTGGACATGCATGCAAAAATCATCTCAAACGTCTTATGTGAAACCAGCACAAGACATCATAGTGACTACAGTTACAAATAATCTTTTTACATTCATATTAACTATGACATTTGCTCAACACTTTAAGTCATAACAAAGGCTCTGAAAGAAATGGATGTTTGGTTACCGTATGTTTTTTAACCCAATGTCCCAAAAGATGAGCCAGTCATAGTTAACATTGAGGCAACGTTTTTTTATTTGAATGCACATTCAAATGTGTTTGCTTGCTAATACTGGTAAAATGTTTGTTCCCCTCTTTACTAAAAGTCACATCAAAATATTGGGGTCTTCTCAAACATAATATGATGAATCATAAACACTTTTTAAATAAAATATGCTTGTTCACTAAAGCATTACACAGAGAAAAGCTGTTAAAAAACACAAAATAAAGGATTCAATCCTCTTCTTGGACATTTTTCATTAGAGACAATATCACTGTTGGTTTTGTTAATCAATTGTGTTTACAGTGCATTCTTTTTTATTCAGGATTAATTAAAGACAACATTTAGCTAAATCACTGCTCTATAAAGCTTTGCCACACTGTAAAATGAAAGAAAAAAAACATGAATAGTTTTTTTGCATACTCTGCATAAGAAATGACCTGAACCAGGACAGGCAAAAGGTGGCTCTTCTTTCTTGATGTAGCTCTGCTCTCACAAGTCAGAGCGCCATTTGCCAGCTACTGTTATTTATGAGCACACTAATTCACATATGTTATAATTTTAATGTATGTATGTACGCTATGAATTATAGTTCACTTTAAACAAAAACGTTGGTTACAAAAATGGCAAATTAATTCCTGAAGAACTCAAATGCTATGAACATTTATACTGATTTGTGATGATTAATCCCTTTGATAATTATTTCAGCTGACGGAGAAGTGGATTATGAGGAAGTGCTTTTGATTTAGGGGTAGAAGTGTCTGAAAGTGCTGCATTTTAAGACTGTTGAATAAGACCTGTACATGAAAGAAAACAACCTTACCATAGAGCACACACACCCAATGGCTTTTTAAGAAGAAAAAACGAAATAGGAATTTTACTTGGGTATGTATTTGTATTTTGGTATTTTAGTTAATCTCAGAAATCCTCACACTATCTGTCAGTGGGGGAATTAAGGGTCTTCAATGTCCATGAACTCCTTTTTGGGTGGTGCTGACCCTCTGTACCAGGCACAAGAGTCATCACTCCTCTTGATACAAGCAAAGTGTTTGGCCTGCCCTCCGTAGACCTTCTTCTCAATCAGCCAGTCCGTCCACAGGCACTCGGCCGGGCTGCTGACCATGCAGGGGATGGAGGTGCAGCGGGTGATCTGAGGATCAGGAAAGAAACCAAGATCAGGGATTACATTTACAACTCTTGCAACTCTGCATTTTTAAAAGATTATTTTAGTTTGGGGTCATTTCCCACCTTGCATCCACAGCCCATTTCATAGCGCTGAGTCAGGCTCTTCTTCTGGGTTTCACTCAGTTCGTCCCAGGGCTGAATGAAGTCACACAGTGTGATATGCATCGTCCCATCATCTTTTAGTTTGCCTGGGAGAAGGAAAAGAGCATTAGATGACATAAAACAAAGACTCTTCAAAGAACAATATTTGTTATATTTTACAATGTGGGATTTGGAATTTGGTGAAAGTTGTACCTGTGATGAGATACTCCTTGCCATTTTTCTCCAGAGTCACTCCACACACTGCAGAAGTGGGAGCGGTGTATATGGCTTCAACATCATCGCTGGGACCTTTGAACATCTGACAATTTAAACAAAGCAAAGTCAATTAAGTTTCATTAACGAAAAAGTTTAGACCCCAATATGAAAATGATAGCTTTCATTTCACATACCTTGATTTGTTTGATGTCATACTTGATACGCTTGATGGGGTTTCCATAGATGTCATTGCCAGCATCAACCTCCTGCACTCCAACTACCTTTCCCCTTATAACTGCAAAAGAGACAAACACAACCCACATTTAATTTGAAGACAAGAGTTTCAAAGTCAAACACCATTATCATGTTAAAACGGAACAGGAACTGATGCCCTGTCCAGGTTTGGCATGCTAAATACAGCCACAACTCTTTGCTGTGGCTTGGATCTGAGCATTTTGCATGTGCCAGGTGCTGGGAAGACAGAAGCAACATGAGTGTTTCATCAGCTGCAATCAGAGGGAGGAATGTGTGCTGCCTGCTCCCAGGCCGACGCAGGAGGAAGCCAGTCAGCAGTCTTTGAAAATCTGAACTAGAATGCTCTCCTTCGCCCCCAGGCCTCTCTGCCGGCCTGCCTCTCTGTCTGGATTGAGGTGCTGACATGCAAATCAGCCCCTCTTCTTTTCGTGTGAAACCTTTCCTTTCCTCTCCCTCTCTCTCTCTCTCTCTCTCTCTCTCTTGCACTCTGAAGTTTCAGCTCCCTGATTCAGCGAGGTTTTGACGGTGGAAAGAAATAGAACAGTTCAAGTGGAAAAACACCATCAAAGCCTTACAAACGAGCCTTCGAGCTGAGTATTAAACACAAAGATATGTTTCACAATAACTGCTTGTGTCATTTGAATCCAATTGTGAATCTGCAATGATTACTGCCTTCACTATACTATGCTTACAATATCATATTCAAAAGTCAAGATTTTAAGCGGACTAGCGATACAGTTAATGTCTAACAGATGTTCTCTCGGAAGTCTCAGTTCAAGTTGTGTCTTTCTCAAGGTGGCTGCTACTGACTGCCTCAGACCATCACCAGCCCTCTGCCTTACCAAACAACATCAAGCCTTTTCACTTGCTTTTTATATGATGGATGTATGAAACTGCAAGCCATATGTGCCCTAATTCTTTGACAGTACAGTTGTAGAGAACAACTCCTTTTAAGGTTCTAGTGCGTCAACTCTAAAAAAAAAGAAAGGGAAAAGCAAAGTTTGTGAAAGCACGATTTGAAGAGGATGGTTATATTCTCAAGGCAGGGGAACAGAGGAGAGCACTGACAGGATTAGCAGTCACACAGCAGAGGTAGATAGTGTTTACACACTACAGGAATAATGTATAATGGTAAACTCTGAAGATGGCTTTTGTTAACAAATCACAAATTGAGCAAGTGTGAAAAAATACACAGTCTGTAAAAAACTGTGAATTATTGGATTTATGTGAACATGTATAATTTGAGGACAGCTTTGTGAGGATGAGGGTTATCCCTTTAAATGCTTAAATAGACAAATGATTTTCTTCCATTCATTATTTGCAGAACATCCACATTCCAGCTTTTATCATGAACAATTATCAATAAAATCCAAAACAAGCTCAAATGTACAAACACATTAAAACATGTCTTGAGGTGGTATAGTGTGCGTTTAACTCCTGAAGCTTAGACTTGATATCCTGTGCTGGTATGCAGTGTATAACTAATTCCAGCAGGACATGATTTTGTTCACTTGTTCAGGCTGACCAAGCCCTATACACAACACACATTTCATGAAACTGGGGACCAAGGGAACCATCTCATTTGCTATTACTAAACAATTAATACAATATTGTGTAGGCAGCATTGTGTTCATTGGAGTTCTTGACAACACGAAGAGGGAAGGATAAGAAAGCATTAGCATGTCATGTAATTGCAGGGCCTGTTCTCCTTTCTGAGAAGCCGCAAAGTGGGAAGACTTTGAACGACAAACACTAAATTACACATTCAAACGATTCCTTTACTTAATCCAACCTTATTATTATTATTAGATAAGATGGACTTTTATTAATCCCTCGTGGGGAAATTGTTTCTCTGCATTTGACCCATCCTAGTGTTAGGAGCAGTGTGCTGCCATTTTGAACGGCGCCCGGGGAGCAGTGTGGGGAACGGTGCCTTGCTCAGGGACAACTCGGTAGCACTTGGTCTTGCCGGGACTCGAACTGGTGACCTTCCAGTTGCCAAGCCAAGTCCCTATTGACTTCGCCACCAGTTTTGGAAACTAACCCATTAAGATGAATGATTTCACAGAAACAACTTTGTTTCTATAGGTAAATACACATCTGAGTTGACAAATATGACATGTGGGGTTCCTCAAGGCTCCATCTTGGGGCCTCTTCTCTTTAACATCTACATGCTACCACTGGCTCAGATAATGAAGAACAACAAAATAAGTTACCATAGCTATGCAGATGACACACAAATTTACGTAACAATTTCACCAGGAGACTATGCTCCAATTCAAACACTGAGTAAGTGCATTGAACAAGTCAATGACTGGATGTGTCAGAACTTTCTCCAATTAAACAAAGATAAAACTGAGGTAATGGTTTTTGGAGCCAAGGCAGAACGTATACAAGTTAGCGCTGAGCTTCAGTGTGCAATGTTCAAAACAACAGATAAAGCCAGAAATCTAGGTGTAGTCATGGACTCTGACCTGAGTTTCAACAGTCACATTAAAACTGTTACTAAATCAGCCTACTATCACCTAAAGAACATATCTAGGATTAAAAGACTAATGTCACAGCAGGATTTGGAAAAACTTGTCCATGCTTTTATCTTCAGTAGACTCGACTACTGCAATGGTGTCTTCACAGGTCTCACTAAAAAATCTATTAGGAAGCTGCAGCTAATTCAGAACGCTGCTGCTCGAGTCCTCACTAACACTAAGAAAGTGGATCACATCACTCCAGTTCTGAAGTCTTTACACTGGCTTCCTGTGTGTCAAAGAATAGATTTCAAAATACTGCTGCTGGTTTATAAAGCACTGAATGGTTTAGGCCCAAAATACATTTCTGACCTCCTGCTAAATTATGAACCATCCAGATCTCTCAGGTCTTCAGGGACTGGTCAGCTTTCTGTCCCCAGAGTCAGAACTAAACATGGTAAAGCAGCGTTCAGTTATTATGCTCCAAATATCTGGAACAAACTCCCAGAAACCTGCAGGTCCGCTACAACTCTGACTACTTTTAAATCCAGGCTGAAGACTTTTCTTTTTGTCGCTGCTTTTAATTGAACTATTCATATCTTAGACTGCACTGTAACTTTTATCCATGTACTTTTTTCTTTTAATGTTTAATTGACAGCACTGTAACTTTTATCCATGTATTTTTTCTTTTAATGTTTATTTTATTAGCTTTTCTTTTTAATGACTGATTTTAAATGCCATTTTCTTAATCTCTTTCATTTTTTGTAAAGCACTTTGAATTGCCTTGTGTTGAAAAGTGCTATATAAATAAACTTGCCTTGCCTTGCCTTGCCTTGTGTAACGTACTTGTATGTTTCATTGGGAATTATATTTCACCTGCATTTTTCATGCCATCTGAATGTTGCCTTCCAAAACAAAAATACTGTATGAAGTACAACAGAGCATCTTTAAACTGAAGTTGCAAGAGACTCTAATGTTGCAATGGTTGCATACAAATTAGTCATTTATGAACACGTTGATTTTTCTTCCCTATTATTAAGGGTTTCACTGTAACTTAGATTGCAAGAAGCTCATGTTCTTGAGTAATTGTCCATAGACTCCCAGAAATAGTCTATTTAACTAAAGTAATATTTATTACATAAGACAATTGTCTGACAGTATAGGTAGGGGGTTCTCACAACAATATTGTACTACTAACGATGTTTTAATCCAAACAACTTTGTTTTATCTTCATAAAAATCACCTGGAGAGTTGACCAGGAACTTAAATAAGACATTTAAACTAAGGAAACATTTTAAAAGGCAGAACCGCCAATGGTAAATAACCACCTTCATTTTGGATTTGCTTGCTCAACAAAGCATCTTTTGCAAAGTCAGCCACCCATTCATTTTCTCTATAGCAGCCACATTGACTTTACATTCCATAAACGTCACAGATTAACTTGTTTAAGTATCAAGAGCCTTCAGGCCAGAAAGGCTGATCCTAACAGAATGATGGTTTATTTAAGCAGGAGGGTCTATCCATGGTGCTGAAGCAGGGTTAGAGGGGTAAAGGTCATGTTAGGAGCCGACCTCAGTGTTGAAACTGATCCGTTTGAAATCACAGTAAATGTTAAATGTCATCTCAGCTAATTTTCTTCCCCCTTTTAGTGACGAAAGGTTAAAGGAACTACTGCACTTTTTCCCCCTTCTTTACAACAAACTAGGATAATGTGGGTTCTTTACCCTCCAGCGCCAAGGAATCCAATGGTAAAGAGAAGCCTTTGAATAAGTCAGCTTCTGTATACTTCCCGCACATTCAGCCGGCTCACAACCAAGAAAAAAGACCCTCAGCAAATGTAAAAAGCTAAACAAGCTGGTCACTGTTGAGACTCCGTTAGCTTAAGTCCTGTGTTGATGCAGCAACAAGCAGTTTTCTATTATGTAATGTAGGGAAAGGATCCACATGACCTTTAAGAAAGAGCATATTAAATTGCCATTTAGTAGTCATTAAGGAAGTGCACCATAAACCCCTCAACCACTGATTTAAGGATTCATTTTGCATGATACTGATGAGCCTTACTCTATCCATAGTTTATTCAACAGATGAGATACCAATATTGTTTGTTTTTTTCCACATTTGTATTCTAATCCTATTTTATTAAAGTATTGTTTTTATATGTTCGCATTATTTGCTCATTTAAAATGTGCTATTTGTTAAGATTATGCACAAAGAAACTGAGGCAATATCCTTGTATTGCCTCTAATTATATTATAAATAACTTTAACTATAATCAGCCTCAATAAAAGCCATTGATGTGGCAAAAATGCTTTTGTAAGCAATATTGTAACAACTTTTAAAATATGTTTCTTGTGGTGTTTATACTGATCAACAAAAAGTCAGATGAACTGGCAAATAACACTAAGGGCATTCCTGTTGCTATCAAGGCTAAAATATCAACATATGATTATGATAAAACATACTGTACTGACTAAATGCTGCATCATATTCATTAATTTGGCTCAGTGAGTGGATTTACCGACGTCCGAGCTGCAGAACTTCTCCTGAGGATGCACGTTATACCTGGAACAGCTGCAGGCTTCTGCTACCTCTTCCCCCCGCCACAGAAACAGGATGGCCAGAGTGACAAAACAACTGTTCGCTGTCCAGGTCATCTTAGAAAGCTGTTTGATTCAAAGTAGTGGATGAAAACGTGAAGGAACACTTTGAAGACCAGCTTAAGCGAGAAGTATCCCCGTGAATAACAGACGGTTCAGTAGTCAGAGTCTGAGATGCACACGGCATGAGAGGGAGTTCATTCCTGTTGAAGAGTGCACTCGGAGACTTCCTCCTCCAAACCTGTTTTCCACTACCGTTGTGACGGCCCGTCTACACTACAGGCAGCAGCCGGGCTTTATCACTGCAGGCTGGCGGCAGACTCCTCCCCTGCTTTAGCGTAATACTTGGATATGCTCTAAAAAAACAAAACATCAAAGCTTTCCATAGGGTTTAATTTATCTTTGCAACAAAAAGCTCATTCCTTAACTTGTTAATCACTGAGCCTGTTTTTCAGGTCACAGGCTCGAAAATGACATTTCCAGAACAAATGACCATAACTACACTTCTAAAAGGGGAAAATTAATAATCTTTTTTCTCAAAGTAATGATAAACCTGTGAGTTGGATGTAGAAAAGTCAGAATCAATATAGATGTTTTTTATTTTAAAGAAAATTCAGATTGAACATAGTAAAAAACTGTAAATTATAGTGTCCATCCAAAACATATTTTTTACTTATAGGCTAGTGAAAACCACCCTTGGATGATAGGTAGACTAAAAGCTTTAGGAATCCAAAGTACAACATATAATAAGTAGGCCTACCCTGTATCAAGATTGATGCAAAACAAGTGACATTTGACCTTTTTAGAGAGGTTTAGCAAATAAAACTCCACCTCTGAGGTGATTTGGGTGGAAATGGCCGTTTTACCGTTTCTCTGGAACCCATTGGTCGATTTTGGTGATTGACATCTCTTTTTGACCGTTAGAGCCAATATAATCGAAGGGGAATTCCCACATAGACACACGTTAACTAAAAAAGGTGGGCATCCTTGCCAACTTTGAGACCTCAGAAATCTGGAGCATTTAAAAACCACCGCATGTTAAAAGGTAAAGTAATCATACAAATGGTGATACAATTTCATACATCTTACCAATCAAAGGGTAAATTCAACTTTAAATGTAGCCTACAGTGAGCTCTTATTATCAATTTGGCCTACTTTCATTAATTTCTCCATTGAAAAACTGGCTCAACTTACCCCAAGGCCCATGGTTCACTTTACCCCATAGCCACCATTTTAGAAAAAATAGCCTATAGCATTCAGAGTCATCTTTAGCTTAATGATTCACATGGTTTAATACGCTGCCAACACATCAACATATACAATATATGTGTTTAAACCTGGATTTTTTTTTACATGACCGATATAGCTGACATCTAGAAAAGCAAAAAACGTTTTTTTGTAAAAATGTTTACTTACCAGACCACAATCTCTCTTTCACAGGCAATGAGAAATGGGTGGAGCTTGCATAATTGATGGTCACTTGATTACAACTATAAGGCATTCCCTGGTTACAGGGGGTGGTTCAATTTACCCACTGGCTCAATTTACCCCCTTCTCCCCTATTTTACAGGAAAGGAGTGAGCAGAGGGTCGAGTTGTCGATTCTTGTTCTGTTTTCTGTGACTATCTTCCTACCATGGAAACCAAACAATGGTGTAGCTGTATTAAAGTCAGAGTGGAAACAGTCGTGAATAAATCTGATTTTGTCAGAAATCGGGAGAAATTAAAAATATCAATATGAAAATGTCAAATACCGCGCCGGCATCGCCACCGTAACCATAGCAACGTAAGTAGCGTAAAGAATGCAGCGCCGCCACGTACAGATGGCAACACCCAGACATATTCACAAATATAAAACAAATATTCAGAAACTGTAATGAACAATAACTATTATTTATTTCAAGAACTTTTATTAACAGAAATTCAACATTTCTAATCTGTGTGACACAAATAAGGATTATTTTGGGCTCCCCCTATTTATCTCAAAGTCGGCCTTCAGGGGAGCTCCCCCCCTCTTCGGGGGAGCCAAGCCCTGCTTCCCCCCATTTCGAACACTGCTTCTGTCTTTCTGTGTCTTTTACTCTGTAAACTCGCTCAACGGGGCCGCTCACTCTCTTCTCTTGATCGCCCTCTCACGGTGAACAGTTCAATGTCCCGCTTCATTGTAGGATTTCTGCCATGTCTCTACTTCAGGGCCCTTTTTCTAGTTTAGAGCAATAGCCCCTCCAAATGTCTGTGCACGTCCCTGTCTCTGACCGACAGTTGCCCGGTCACAAACAGGTAACAACAACAACTTGCTAGGGCAGCCCGTCCTTTAGGGAGATAACAGCTGCTCAGGGTTGGAGCATCTGTGTCAGAGGGTGAAAGTGGACACTGGCAAATTATTCCCTAACAGTAACAACATATGTCTACCAGCACCTCCAAAGCACTAGTAAACACATCTGTTTGTTTAAAACATACAAAAGAAAAAGTTAAAGACACCAATTTGCTGTTTTGAGAGGGTTTTTTATCAGACTGTTTTTAGAAACAGTTTGATAAATTGTGATACAAGTGTTAACATTCCTGTATTCCTCTAATGTAAATAAGATAGTGTGGGGGAAACTTCTGAAGCAATTGGAAACAGGACTCAGAGAGACACGAGGAGAGCTGGAGCTTTGATGGCAAACACTGTCGGTTTATTTGGAGCTTCGGCCGGAGAATTCACAAGACATGTCACGGGCCACGGTTTGACCACACGGTTGAGATGCCACAATCAATTCTGAAGAACCCTCCTGTAGCTCGAGGTTTTAAGTAGTTCAGAGTGTAATAATCAACATTCTTGAATAGATAGACTAAACAGCTGAGGACACTGAATCACATTTGTTGTCGCTTATGGCTCGGGGTCATCTACACCGCGAGAAGGATGTGTTCCAGGTGTCCCACAACAATAACTATCTCTGAAAGAGAGTTGCCCGGTCATAAACTGGAAACAACAACAACTTGCTAGGGCAGCCCCTCCTTATGGGAGATAACGGCTGCTCAAGGTTGGTCAGCTGCGTTACAGAGCAAAAGGTAAACATGTAGGGCGAAATTATTCCCTGACAGATAGTAGCTGTGAGGCTGAACTGCTTTGGACTGACCTCCATCTGACCCTCAACCTAAGGCCACACTGTAGTGGTAACTGTGACCTTACAATACTTTTTACAATCTTCTTCCCCTTCTTCAACTTTACTCAATGGTTTTGCAATGTCATATGTACCTCAAACCTGCAATAACTGATTGTTTTCGCCACTTAGCAACAGCAAAAGCTCAGTAAACAGAGCAATTACATAAGGTCAGACTTTCAGATGATGTGGTGAACTTTTTAACACTTTAATTCTTACAAATCTAGTATGAAACAACATTGTCATTCATGTGTAGTGGCACATTTACAATCTACAGTCTGTTTAGGGCCTCTACCAAGTTCAGAGGGAAACATTTATCTCTTTAGCTGCTAAGTGTTTACTTTAGCTTGTTGCTAAATCTGTCTGTGTGCTGATTGTTGCTGAGCAGGTAGCATACTGTGGGTTTTTAGAGTTTATTTATGGAGAAATTGGGCCGAAAATGGCGCTATGAGAGATTGAAAGACCACAGTAAGATGTGGACTGGAAAGCTAAACAATGAGTGGAAACTGTATAAAGCTAATGTTAAGCCAATGGGAGCTGCACATTTTTTTAAATTGTCACTTTAAAGATGATTACAGGCATTGAAACCTTTCAAGCTAATTAAAATTCACTTCTTAAATAATACTGATGTGGGTCCAGGGTCATCATCAGCCCATGCCTATAACCCAGTTATATGTGTTTTTTTCATTCAGTGAGAATGAATGCACAGTCAGTTTCAGGAACTACCAAGAGAAACAGGAGTGAAGGAGGAGTGGGGAGAAGAATCATCCCCTTAAACTTAAAATATTCAATCTGGGGGTGATTCCCCTAAACGTAGGCTACTTAAATCCCTCCACTCTTCTGTGAAAGAAACATTATTCAAGAGTTAAAGTCTAATTCTTTAGTTGTTTATCATCTCTTACTTATGAGCATAACTTGATGGCCCCTCTGTTGGAAAGTTAGGAAAAAGATCTGGGTTTTGGGTCCTCCCGTGTTGATTCTGGCTAGAAATAAGAAATCAAAGTGAGGGCATTGTGTGTGTGATGATTAGAGCTGATGATAATTAATGGAGGGAGAGAGGGTCATGTCATGACATGTCATGACACAACCTGAGGGACTGTGAATGAGACACACACCCACGCACCCAAAGAAACACTCACACACGTGTGTTGAAGTGTAATTGTATCACTGTATATATATATATATATATATATATATATCAATAATATGTAAACATTTGAAATGAATTAAATTGAATTGAATTGAGAGAGAGTATGTGTGAATATCTGCTGTGGCTGCTTCACTGCCATCATATCACTCTGGCAAATATTTTCACTCTTTTCCATAGTTGAGCATTTTTGCTTGGTTGCTTTTCCTCAGTTCTGTTACTTAATGTTTGTGTAAACCAGGCATGGAGACAGTCGGAGCACCTAGGAAGTAGGAACATAGTAAAACCAACTTGTAATGACTCATGTACTCGGCGTGTTTAAGGACAATTCATACTTTTATTTTCCCTATCTTTGGAGATAAGGAACATTACCAAATTGTTAGAAGCATGACTCTTAATCAAAGGGGAAGTTAATGAACACATGGACGACAACACAACTGCAGGGTGTGGATCAGAGACCAAGGCCGTTTCTCAATCGCGAGGATGCTGACTTGGTAGTCGCGTACTTACAAGTCACTTCCTTCAGAAACGAAGCAAGTAAGCTTCCAAGCCACGGCTTCGGAAAACGAAGAACAATGGAACAGGCTAACAAGTGTGCCACTCTCTCTAACGGTTTCAACATAAACTGTACCAAAAATAAATACCTCACGATGTCTATCTAACAACAAGTCCTCCAACTCATACGACCAAATGGGTCGATTGTTCAAGCCCTTATTACGACCAAATATGTCGTTTGTTCAAGCGCTTAATACGACCTATAATTACGTTTTAAAGTTGTCGGCCTCTTGTGCTCCCGTTGAATGCAAACGTTACAGAGGGTCGTTTATTCACAAATAACCCTCTCTGTAAAATCCTAAATTGTAGGATAGTTTGGCCATTAAAACGCTTTTTGATTAGATTTCTAGCGAGAAGTATGTATTGTACTTTTAGAATCCACGTCCAGTCAATATGTAGGATCTATAGTTTGAT